ACACACACACACACACACACACACACACACACAAACAGACACAGTATTTTTAGCTGGCTGTCTGTCGACACTTTTTACCCCCTGCACTCCTTTCTTGGTTGTCCTAGGTAAACCATGGGACATAAGTTTTTCGCTTAGCACTGAATAATTAAACACATTTGACACGAATTTTTAGCTATTTTAGTGCTTTTTAATGTCATGTAGTCAAGAGTTTTATCCAACCCTGTGGCCGAGTTACTTTACGAACTTTATAAGCAGAATTTTAAGGTTTGAACTGGGTTAGGGGCCTGAGTTTTGTTTATCGTGTTTCTAATGTTATTCATTCCAGTCCGTTGTTTCAGTTTAGTTGTGATGGGGATTTTGCCGGTGAGGGAGAGGAGGGGGGCGGGAGGAGAGTCGTAAAAGTTTTTATAATATGTACTCAAAGACGTAGTTGGTGTATGTACGCCATTAAAGGTTTGACTAAAATACAATAGAATTGAACAATATCCACAAGAATAAACCCCACAAGAGCAGCAGAATTAAAAGCAGAAGGTGCTCCTGTCTGGTGTTTAAGATTTCGGTCTCGTTCACGTAAGACTGCTGGTTCAATTCTCTTTTCGGCAGGGTAAATTCTTGTAAATGATATTGCGACAATGGCTTACGTCACTTCAGTTTGTTTTGTTTTGTGTTTTTTCAGTTCAAACACCTTGGAACGAGCACTTGTATTCGAAAGAGATGAAAGTGTGTTTAGGAATGCATCCAAAAGGCTAACAGACTTCCAGCAGTATGTGTTCCACAAGCACTGGGTCAGAATATTGAAACATTTAACCCCAGCGAAACATGAGCCGTTGTCGTGCTCGTCGTCGATTTGAAAGAATGCAAAAACTATTTTCGGACTGTGTCAAATTAATAAAGACCAGAAAAGCAACAAAGCCACCTACCTCTACAAATCTCCCTTGCTTCGCTGTACGTGGCTATGTTTGGCGAGATATAGACGCAGATGGCCGTCCCAGAGTCCAGCCACATTGTCATAAAATCTTCTGACTGGTCACAAAGGCTGCTAACATAGAGGGTGCCCTGGTCAGAACTAGGGGGCGCTTGCAAGAGCGACGGCAACGAGCCTGAAGATATTGATAACATATTAATAATATTATTCAGCGCATAGATGTAGATACTACAAAACAAAATTGGTGTTTTCTTATCTAAAACTGATATTAATGGATTGTCGGGAAGCTTAGGTGAGATTTCTTGGAACAGTGTAATGCTACAGGTTTACAAACATCTGAGTTAGAAACACTCTATCCATTAGAGGGCTTGTACTTGAAAAAATTGCCCAGCGCACAGTGGTATGGTTATACCAAGAGTACAGATTTTAATTGGAAGATTGTTATTAATTTTATAAGTCCACTTGGACATAAATAAGATTATGAGTTTGGCGTGTTACTTCGATCCTTTCAGTAAAGGCGAAATTTCGCCTAAGGAGATACTACATTCTATCAGATAAACAATAAATTGTACTCGATAGATATCTTCCCAAAAGGAAAACATATTTCATGTTAGTCACGCGCAAGCCCAATCAAACCAGTACACCTCAGACGCTATTTTGATTTATATGATTTTGAATGGCGATTTTTTTTCAAAATTTTTTGCTTTTGTTTTCTTTTGTTCTGTTTTTGTTTTTGTTATTTGTTTTATTGTTGTTGTTGGGTTGTTGTTGTTTTTTCTACTACATCATGCCACGCTTCTTTCACAAACGTAGTAGGCAGTGGTAAGGCAGGAAACGTCCAACAGCAAGTAATTGTGACGCGGCCGTGTGGTCACACAGTCCTCATCCCCGTTAGAGCTTGGTTCTCCTGCAATCGAGAAAGGAGATGAAAGAGAAGTGGAATTGGGTATTGCTTGTCAACCAAAATCAAAAATACTCTTATTACTTTTTAAAAAGGTAGTGATCTACGTTCTCTTACGTTAGATAGCGTATACATGTACAAGCTCTCTACGCTAACTAGCTGTCTAAGCTCCACCTTGAAGATCCTCTCTTGATCACGATATCTATGTATTTAATAATATTATTTTTATGGAAACAAGCCGACAATGCCGCTTGCACAGTGCTTTCGCTTAGTGTTCGAGAGCTATGTACTTTCGCAAGTGAGTTCTTTCTCGCAAAATTAAACTGCTAGCGAAAATAAAGCCGTCCACGTCTACGTAACAG